AGAGAAGTCCCCCTCTGACTTCAAGGTCGAAATGCCAACCTTTGATGGAAAAGATGACCCGGATGATTTCATCGAATGGTTAGAGACGATTGAACGCGTCTTTGACTATACCGAAGTGCCGGAGGACAAGAAGGTCAAGCTTGTGGCCTTAAAATTCAGAGGCTACGCATCTACGTGGTGGACTAACACTACCACCAAGCGCAAAAGAGAAGGCAAAGCTGCTGTTCAAACATGGACCAAGATGAGGGCTTTATTGAAGAAGAAGTTCATTCCCACTCATTATATAAGGGAAAACTTTGCTAGGCTTCAACACCTAAGGCAAGGAAATCGGTCCGTAGAAGAATACAATCGAGAGTTTGAAGAACTCTTGATGCGGTGTGATCTCCAAGAGAATGACTCACAAACCTTTGTGAGATATCTCTTTGGCCTAAACACCCAAATCGCCAACACAGTGGAGCTGCAAACCTTTGAGAACCTTGAAGAGCTAACCAAGTTAGCACTTAAGGTGGAAGCCCAACTCAAGAAGGGCAAATCTTCTTTGAGCCGTGGCAATTCTTCCTACCCTAGTACATCAACTTCCACCCCCCTTGTTGCCCAAAATCTCACAGATCCCTCCCCTCAAAATCCTAAAACTGTGCACCCTATTTCCTCACCCAATGCTTCTCCTCTTTCAAAACCAAGTTCCTCAAGTAGCCGAGTCCCAAAGTGTTTTCGTTGCCAAGGCGCTGGTGACTGTCCAAACAAGAAGATCATGGCTATTGTTGAATGTGAAGAAGAAGAATTGAATCCATTTTGGATTCAAGGAGAGCCGAACAAAGAAGAAGTTGTTGGTCCCAATGAAGGTGAACTTTTGGTCATTCAAAAGACCATTAGTCATGCGGCTGCCCAGGACGATACCACACACCGAGAGAGTATTTTTCGTACTCGTTGCACCGTTCAAAAGAAGGTGTGTTCAATGATCATTGATAGCGGGAGTAGTGCCAACGTTGTTTCCAAAACAGCGGTTGAAAAGCTCAATTTAAAGGAGATGCCACATCTGAAGCCTTACGAGATTCAATGGTTGAATCTTAACGAAGGGATACGTGTGAATACACGTAGCTTGGTTTCCTTTAGCATGGGTCAGTCCTTTCATGAGGACGTATGGTGTGATGTGATACCCATGAGAGCTTGTCATATTCTCCTCGGGAGGCCCTGGTTATATGATCAGAGAGTTACCTACGATGGTTTTGCCAACTCGTATTCATTCTTTTTGAATACTAGGAGAATCACTCTTTCCCCAATAATACCATCCAACAAGCTGCCCGAAACACCGCCCCCATCTGTACTTGCCATGTTTGCCTACCGCGAATCTAAAGAGTTACAATATGACCCTTTGCTTGAGCAAAATCAGCCGTTGAGCCTTTTTGAAGATCCCCTATCCGACCCCTTCTTTGGAACGGAAAACCTCGGGGGCAAACCAACACTAACGGCTTTTAATGCCAACACTTTTTTGCTTAATTT